CCTTAACACTGCAGCACTACATTGTGTATTATCAGGAACTCCAACTCCCGTAATAGAGCCCATAGCTTCTACCACGGACCAAGTTGGAGGCAGAATTCTTTACTAATAACACTAACATCTGCTCCAGTGTCTACTAAACCCTTAAACATTTTCCCCTCTATTCTTAAATTGATCATAGGATGGGTTTTGCTAATTTCCTGTATCCAATAGATATCTGAGCTTCCAAATCCTTGTGTTCCTCTTTTCCTATTTATAGCTTCACCCTGCTGAATAGAAGGTAGAAGTAGGAGCTGAGAATTCTTTGTCCTGGAGTAATTTGCATAATATGTTTGCATTCTAGTGTTACCTTGATTTCACCCTCATAGTCTGAATCTATGACTCCAGGCAAAACAGTTTGTCCTTTCAGAGTGTTTCCACTTCTTCCTAAGACTAATCCTAATGTTCCCAGAGGCACAGGCCCTCAAATTCCTGTAGGGACAGCTTGTGGAGTCATAAGGGGTGTCAGAGTGATGGCTACTGTGCTTTTGAGATCTAGGCCTGCACTCCCTGGAGTGGCTCAGATGAGGGAATCCACTGTGGGCTTTGCAGGGCAGAAATCCCCTGTTGTTGACAGGGCTGGGGAAAGCCCCTCTGGCCATTTCCCTGCAGCTGGCCATTCCCTATGTCTCAATTTAATGGCTTCCCATTTCTATGAAATTGAGATCTGTATTGACTGGCCCAGTGATTTCCTTTTTGACATCTAGGACATAAAGAGGTCAAATCTGCATTGTTTGAATCAGGAGGCAGAATGCTCATGCCTTTCCCTTGGGCGCCGCCCTGAGTCCTTTGTGGTTGCCTACATTCTTTTTTTGAAATGTCCTGTCTGTCCACAATTAAAACATATTTTATTCCCCACTGTTACAGCGGCGGCTACTAAGTTTGCTTGAAAAATGCCTGATCCCACATCCTGACATGCTGCAGTAATTTCTGTAATGGTACTATTTCTTCTTAGAGGTGTCAGAAATTACTTACAATCAGCATTGGCATTTTCATAAGGTAATTGCTGAATTAAAATGTCTCCGCTATTTCATGCTGTATTTGTCATCTCACTGTTTGAGTGAGGCGAGTCACAAAATCAGAAAATGATTCTGTGGGTCCCTGAGCACACTAACTAAAAGCTCCCCAGGATCTTCTTTTGCTGGCAAAGCCCACCAGGCTCTTCTTCCACAAAGCCTAATTTGCTCATAAGCTTGTTGCATATACTGTAGCCGATTCTTCGTCACTGTATTGCCCTTGTCCTGATAACATTTCAAAAGTTATTTGAACATTCTGCCCAAAACTAGCATGAGCCTGTTCTTGACATCCTCTAAAAATTCTCCCTTCCATGGCAAGTAATCTCCTCCATCCAGGGCTGCACGAGCCAGAGAGAACCAATCAAAAGGAGGTAGGAATGCTTCAGCAATGTTAGTCATAATTTTTCCTGTAAATGGATCAGTAGGCCTGTCCTGCAAGGCCTTTATCATTTTAAAGTCAAATTTGTCATGCTGTCTAATTATTTGATTTGGGAAATATGGGTCAGCTACCTGTATAAAAGGAAAAGCTATTCTCTCCTCCACTTTTATGTCCTTTCCTCCTTCTCAGGTAGCTCTTTGCACAGTTGATTCCACTAGTGGGGGAATTTTATGTTTCAGGATCAAGACACGGAGGTGGAGGGGGACATGAAGGCCACTCCTCCAATTTTTCTTTCTGCTCCTCTTTAGGAGCGGAAGGTATAAGGGGAGGTGGTTGATCTTCTTTACCTCTCTAAAAGGTTC